CTTTTCATGACGTTTCAGCTTGCTTGGTAGACAGAAACGTTTGTCACAACCTTCATAATTGCACCTAGCAAAAAGAGATTGAAGTGTTATTAAAAGATTGGAATATTTCCTTATGATTGGAGAAAAATCATTAAGACAGTGTTTGATACTTACTTAAATGGTGGCACATTTGTGTGTTCATACTGATGCACTTTGAGTTGCTGATGCTTCTTAAATGATCTGCCACACCCTTCAAAATCACACTACAAGCAAAATACAAAATTTTCAATAAAGACAAAGTTGACAAAAATGTTGTCAGTTATATTTAATTTTATGAAAGTTACAGCCCACCAGCACATATTCAACTTCTAATAATTGTGAGCAGCTTCTGAAAGTGCAATAATTTCAGCAACTTTTACTAGTCTTGACACGGGAATCACATTTTCATGGATTAAAGATCCAATCCAGAGGTGTGAACACCCTCTAGCAAGCTGATAGAATGCTGCTTCATTGAAGAGGTGATGGCTTTTTTTGTAGGAAAACGTAAGAGAGAAGTGTCCTGGACGAGACTTATCCACAATAACAATCTTGAAAGACAGCTTATCTAGGAACATAATTCATTGTGTTTATTTTAAGTGGCATTGTGATGTTTATACAATTGGTGTCATACTTCCCAACATTACAACAATAGCTACAATTCAAAATGAGCTATTCGATGTGAGTTACTTTGGAACATTTTGCCATCATACACTTTTTTTTTAAAAAATTTTCTGTGAAAATACTCTTCAAAAGGAGAGTGCCATTAAAGGAAATGTTTGAAACATCAGTTCACTAATTGTTAAGAAAGTGAGGATAACTAAGTTTGTTAAATTCACTCATCCAGCCTGTCCTTGAACAAAATTTTATGTAAATCACTTTGGGATATACTGTACTATTCAATTAGTTTCATTCAGTAGACTAAATTTGAGTGTTCATCCACATGCTAGTACGGGCAGGAATGCACAGGTCTGATTAATGCACGATAATCTTTGGGTAATTTGATAGGCAATTACTAGATTTTATGTATAGTTATGATTTGAGAAACGATTTCCAATGTTATATAACACCAAATGATTAAACAACCAAGACAAATTCAATGCATGCAGCCAGTCATGTTATCCTAGTTGCCACCATACAGGACCACCTTTCACTTTGAAAATTGCTTGTAAGCTAACTCAACCAGTAACTCACGAGGTTGCAAGATCTGTACTTTAAACAAGTTACGTCAACAAAATTTGAGTTGGGGAAAGAAACCAAAAACAAACCTCCCATACAGTTTAAAATAAAACAAAACTAAAGTTACTTTTACACAACAAATCTAATATCGTATAATACACCAGAACATTAGCAAACAAAATTTGACACCTGGTTACCTAAGCAGTTATAGGACATGTCACCAAATGTACAATCCTACAAACATACAAGCATATGATCTTAAAGTGAAGAGAGGGGTAGGAGGCATGAAGAGGGAATTCTACAGTCTAGAGCCGAGGCAGTTAAAGGCAATAATTGAGGAAATAAAATCAGAAAAATCAAAAAAAAAAGCAGTATTAGAGAATCAGGGTTCTGAAGGTTGTTGGGCTTGGGGAGAGAAACAGACCACAAAAGGTAGAGGGGAGAGGCCACCGAGGGTTTCAAAAAGCTAGATGCTGCAAAAATAGCAGCCAATGTCAAATGCAAATTAAGGTGAATGGGGTGTGGTGCCAAGTTATGATACATCCACATTTATGGAGGGTGGGATAGAAAATGCCCATTGGCCAGGAAAACATTCAAATAGTCAAGTTGGGAAATGTAGGAACAGTTGAGGATTTCAGCTGCAGATAAAATGTGGCAGGGGCAAAGATAAATAAAGTTAGGAGGTGTGATTAGGCAGTCTTGGTGGTGTAGCCACATGGTTGAAAGCTCATCTCAATCAAAAAGATACCAATCTTGCAAAGTCTCATTTAGCCTCAAGCAGTGATGAGGAAGGGAAAAGTGTTAGTGACAAGGGAACAGTGTGTGAGGTAGAGTTTAACATTAGTGAAATCACCTTCCAATGTAGTCAGTATTGACTAGCAGGTTAACTGGACCAGTCAAACACCGTAGCTACAAGAGCAGGTCAGAGGAAAATGGTTTTGCAGCAGGTGAATAATCTCAACTCCCTAAACAATTCACATCATTCACAAGAGAAGTCAGGAGTGCAATGGGAAAACTCTTCAATTGCCCAATAAGTGAAGCCCCAGCTCTTGAGGACTTGATACCGTCTAAGTCAATGCACAGCATCCGCCACTTTGAAAGTTTTCTCCCTCACCATTTGCACCCTTGTACCATTTACAAGATGCACAGCACACCTCTTTGACAGAACGCCCAAACCTTCAATCCTTACCACCTTTACCTACAAGACAAGAAGCTAGATGCTAAAACTGCCACCTGCAAGTTGCCCACCAGTCACAAACATCCTGATTTGAAAATACACTGTTCCTTCAGTCACTGGGTTAAAATCCAGGAACTCCATCACTAATGGCATTGAGGTAGAACCTTCACCATAAAGAGCAGCAGTGACGGGGGTTCACTATACACTACACATGAAAATTGTAGGATTAGATATAAATATTGGCCTTGCCAATGGCATCCGCGTCCCATCAATTAGTGACAAAAAAGGAAAAAAAATTCATTACCAAGTAAAGCTTGTCTATATTGTCATGCTTTCTTGAGATATGCTTTTTCAAATTGTCCTTTGTAGTAAAAGTCTTATTGCATCTTTCATCTGTACATCTGCAAGACATTAAAAGGTTAAGAATACTGGCATTGCTTCAAAGTGTGAAGAAAACTACAAAAAATCTAAACATTACATCATATTATGATGCTTCCATGATTGATAAAAGGAATAACTTTCCAGCTGTATCTGAAGCAACATCTGTTCAGCACAGGTAATGCTCAATCAGCCCTGACTTGAACCTTTAAAAACAGTCACAGCATGTTCATTCATCTCCAACTAACCCTTCTTCCCTCAGTGCATCATACTTTCTGTCTCTTTCAGAGAAGAGTGGGTGAAGTGAAGACCTTGTGACCGGCAAAGGCAAGGGCTGAGGTAAGTTAATTGGACATAGTTAGATTAGTCCTTGCTATACAATAAAGACAAGAGCTAGCCATTTGTCAAGTTTCTGGTATGTGGCTTAGGTTATTTCAAGTTTTAAACAGAAAATGAATGGTGATAAAAGTTAAAATATATAAACAGCAACATAGATAACTAATATGTTTAAATATTAAAATGCTTTAATGAAGGCACTACAGGTGCTGTGTCACAGTTTGCAGTATGTGGGTGCTCCTGGATGCCAATTTGGACCAGAGCAATCATTAGAGCCTGACTAATTTAATAAGAGTTTTTTGGGCATGTTAACCAAAGTAGATAGACAGCAACCAGTAAATGTACTGTATTTGGACTTGCAGAAGGCAAGTAACAAGGTACCTCACAAAAGGTTAAATCATTAAGTTCTCATGGTGCTAGAGCTAGTACAGCAAACTTTGTTTTAGTCGGCACTCTTGAAAAACCAGCAAATACATACTTGAAATACTGGAAGTTCACCATATTATCGTGATCCCCACCATGTTCAAGTAGTCAGTTCAGCACATGAAGTTGAGAAGGCTCTCTACCACTAAGTCTTATTTAAGGCAATGTTGCACTATTATCCAAGTGATTTATGCTGTAAATAAAGTACAACAGTGACGTGCATAACCCCTGCATTACATTTGCATTAGTTAGTACATGTTTTTACACTGAATGTGTGGACCTCTTGATCAACCAGACTATTTCATTAACTGGCACACTCCTAATCCCATAGGTGCTGGTTAATAAAAAGTTTGCCGTATAAAGCGAGTGGGGATAAGGGGTTCTTTTTCAAACTGGCAATTTGTAACAGTGGGGTTCCACAGAGATCACTGCTGGCACTGCAACGGATTACAATATATTATTAGTGACGAGGAAGGAAGGAAGCAAATGACCTGAATCCAAATTGCAAATGACAAAAAAAGTGGAAAGGCAAGTTGTGAGAAAGATACAGTTTAGAGACATATTGTTAGGTTGGGTAACTAAGTCGGCAAAAAGTTAGCAAACGGCATATAATGTGGGAAAACGTGAAGATGTTCATTTTGGAAGGGAGGACAAGAGAACAGTATTATTTAGATGGGAGAAGAAAACTACAAAACCAAGGGACTTTGGGGTACTTATGCATGAAGTACAGAAAGCTAGCAGACAGGTGCAGCAGGTAATCAGGAAGGCCAATGGAATGGTGGTCCTTGTTTCAAGGGGTTGGAGTAAAAAGAGTAGAAAGTTTGACCGCAACGGTACAACGTGCTGGTGAGACCACATGTAGAGTACTGAGAGCAATTTGGGTCCCCTTATTTAAGGAAAGATATTATTTCATTGCCGGCAATTCAGAGAAGGTTCACTAGGATGACATTTGTAATAAATAGTCTGTCTTTCTTGTTAAGTACAGAAACCTGGTCCATGCTGTCAACCTGGGTTTGAAAGACGGGAAAATTGGGAATACTGCATACTTTTTAAAAATGTTTAACTTTTAAAAATACTCCAGGGATAGTGGAACTTGGATTCCAGCACACTACCCCAGTGAGGCATTGGATCTTCTCAATTATGGGTGTACAATCATTTCCTTTATAAAAGACTTTTAATTTGGTTGAATTTTGGTTGATTCTTGGCTGCATTTACCCTAAAGGACTAAATGGATATGAAAACAAACATCTTACACTCAAGTTAAGAATTTCTCATGGTGTATACTGACCTAAATGGTTTTTCTTCTCCATGAGTCAGAAGGTGCCTTGTAAGATGACCTTTCCTGGAGAAACCTTTACCACATCCCTCATATTGACAAGAAAATGGTTTCTGTAAAAAAAAACACATTTGGTAAAGATTTTTCTTCAGAGTCATTATCTTCCAGTAATTTTCTCAGTCTAGCCTTCACTTCCAAAAATGAAGCCAACCACCCCAGCAAACCGAGGCATATAAATAACAAGCAGGACAGAAAACCAAGGCTTCACCAAAGGCGCAGTGACAATGTTACCTGGCAGGGTGATGAACCGGCTGCAATCAAACACATCGGCTCGGCGAGCAAGTCTACAACCTCATCCACAACATAAGCTACAAATCTTCTCAAAAACTTTAGGTCTAGGCCCAAAACATCAGCCTTCCTGCTCCTATGATGCTGCTTAGCCTGCTGTGTTCATCCAGCTCTACACCTTTTTAAATTACCCCCTTAGTTTTGAACTCCTCAACCCTAGGAAAAAGACCTTTGTTCACCTTATCTATGCCCCACATGATTTTATAAACCTTTAAGGTCACCCATCAACCTGCTATGCTGCACTGAAAAAAAAAGCCTATCCTTATAACTCAAACCCTCTATTCCTGGCAACATCCTGGTAAATCCTTTCTGAACCCTCTCCAATTTAATAATATCCTTCCTAGAGTAGGGCAACCAGAATTGTACATAGCAGTCCAAAAGGTGCCTCACCAACATCCTGTACAACCTAAACATGATATCCTAACTCCTATACTCAATGGTCTGAGCAATTAACCACTGTCTTAGTCTTCTGTCTACCTGTGATGCAACATTCAAAGAACTACCTTCCTAAACTCCTATGTCTCTTTGTTCTACATTACCCAGGGCCCTACCATTAACTGTACAAGTTCTACCCTTGTTTGTTTTACAAAAACAAAATACCTTGCATTTATTCAAAATAAACCCCATCTGCCACTCATCAGCACACTGGACCAATTGATCAAGATCCCTTGTTAATCTGAGAGAACCTTCTTCACTATACCATCAATTTTAGCATCATCCACAACCTTACTAATCATGCCTCCTAGATTCTAATCCAAAGCATTTATGAAAATGACAAAACGTGCACCCAGCACCGATCCCTGCAGACCACCACTGGTCACGGGCCTCCAGGCGGAGAAACAATCCTCCAGCACTGTCTCCTGCATTTCAGCCAACTCCATATCCAAGTGACAAGCTCTCCGTGAATCCCATGTGATGTAACTTTGTTTATTAGTCTACAACGTGTAACCTTGTCAAAGGCTTTACTAATATATGAGGTGCAACATTTTAACGGCATTCTGTTCTCATGAGCACATAAATCACTCCTAAAAATATAAATAAAACAAAATACTACTGATGTTGTAGGAATAATAAATCTCTACAGTATTGATCAGTTCCTTCCGGAACACATTGTTAAGTGATCAGAAGTAGATTATACTGTGTTTGGGGCTTGATTTGATGTGAAGCCATGTAGAACATGGCTGTTGACCGCTCCGGGAGCACCTCGCAGCGAGGTCACGCAGGCCAGAGTCCCAGCCCCTCTTACCTCCCCTGTGTGCCTGCACAGGTGAGCGAGTAGCCGCCAGTTCTTGGAGAAAGTGGCTCCACAACCGAAAGAGCAGATGAAGAGATTCCGGCAGAGTCTGTCCCGCTCTGACACCAATGGCCGCTCCCCGCTGCCCGGCCCCGCGCCCTCCTCCGGCCGCTCCCCGCTGCCCGGCCCCGCGCCCTCCTCCGGCCGCTCCACTCTGCCCGGCCCCGCGCCCTCCTCCGGCCGCTCCACTCTGCCCGGCCCCGGGCCCTCCTCCGGCCGCTCCCCGCTGCCCGGCCCCGGGCCCTCCTCCGGCCGGCACCGTCTCCCAAAATCCATCTCCTTACAGTCACAGTGCGGAGGGTCAGGCGATCTGCAGTTCCTACTATCTCAGATCTTCTATCCTGTCTGGAATAACTAGGGGGGGGTAATATCATCTTTATTCACGTATAACACAAGCTACAACAGTAAACGTAACCCTGTACTTCAAGTACAAACTAAAATTTAGTTAGTATTAACAACATCCTAAACTGGTCTCATTACTGCGCAGTGTTTCTATTTTTTAAAAACTCTATTTTTCCTTAAATCTCACGCACATTCACTTGGACTAGCCCGATGACATCACACGGAGGCGAGCTCGTGCCCTGGAACCGGCTCACGTGGCTCTGTCCCCAATGTACATCTCTGAGATGCTGCTTCATTGAAACAACACATGTGGAAGGGCAGAGAGGCTGACGTTTCGGGCCTAGACCCGAAACGTCAGCCTCTCTGCTCCTATGATGCTGCTTGGCCTGCTGTGTTCATCCAGCCCTGCACCTTGTTGTCTCGGATTCTCCAGCATCTGCAGTTCCTACTATCTCTCATGTGGAAGGGCGAAGCATTTCTGCAGTAGTTGGGCGGAGTGTAAAGTGCTGGTGGAGAAAAGATGTTGACAGTTCAAATTAAGTGATCAGAATGTGAGAATGGCAGAGGGAAGGAACTGATCAGCAGTGTGGCGACTGGTACAGATTAATGCTTAATTGGAGGCAATTTAATATTCCAACAACATCTGCAGTGTTTTGTTTTATTTATACTTTTATTTGAGTGATTATGAACTCATGACAACAATGCTGTTAACATGTTGCACCTCGTATTAGTAAAGCCTTTGACACGGTTATACATTGTAGACTAATTAATAAAGTTACATCACATGGGATCTAGGGAGAGCTTGTCAATTGGATACGGAACAAAAAACAAAGTTGCTGGAAAAGCTTAACAGGTCTGGCAGCATCTGTGAAGGAAAAAACAGTTAACGTTTTGGATCCAGTGACCCTTCCACAGCATTGGATAAGGAATTGAATAAAAGGCAGGAGACAGAGTGGTGGAGGTTTGTTTTTCTACCTGGAGGCCTGTGACCAGTGGTGTTCTACAGAGATTGGTGCTGGGTCCACTTTTGTTTGACATTTATATAAGCACTTTAGATGAGAATTTAGGAGGCATGGTTAGCCAGTTTGTGGATGATGCCAAAATTGGTGGTATGGTTGACAGTGAAGAAGGTTATCTCCGATTACAAAGGGATCTTGATCAATTTGCAAAACTAATGTTTTGAGTCTAGATGACTCTTCAGCAGAGCTGAAGTGAAGTGTGTCTAACTGCCAGACTTGAAAGAGCACCCTGTTTGTGTTTGGTTTCTCAAATGTAGAAAGCCACATTAGGTGCAGTAAATACAGTGCACAAGATTGGAGGAGGTGCAGGTGAAATGCTGCTTCACCTGGAAAGACTGTTTAGGCTCTTAGCTGGTGAGCAGGGAGGAGGTAAAGGGATGGGTGTTGCACCTTCTGCAGTTATATGGAAAGGTAGACAGGGCTGGGTGACTGCTTTGCAGACCACCCCCAGTCTGCATGCAAGCATAACCCTAACCTTCCCATTTTAACACAGCATCCTGCTTGCATGCCCACTTGTCGGTCCTTGGCATGCTGCAGTGCTCCAGTGAGCCATAGTGCAAACTGGAGGAATAACACCTCATCTTCAGACTAGGAGATAGCAAGAACTGCAGATGCTAGAGCCAGAGACAGAGACAACACAGTGTGGAGCTGGTGGAACACAGCAGTCCAGGCAGCAGAGGAGCAGGAAAGTTGATGTTTCAGGTCAGAACCCTTCTTCTGAAGGGTCTCCAGCTCCACACTGTTGTCTCATCTTCAGATTAGACATTTTACAGCCATCTGAACTCAATATTGCATTCAACACCTTTGAATTGTGAACCAACTTCCATTTCTTCCCTTCCGGCTTTACTTGTTACATTCTCTGTCACTATGTCCTCTCTCCCTTCCTCCCACCCCATTGGGACTGTCTGCACTTTCAAGTCTAGCAGTTAGACACATTGTTCTACCATTCTGATCACTTAATCCAAACTTTCATCCACCAGCAGTTTACACCCCAGCACCCCCACGCTCTCTCTGAACTCTGACATAAATGCTGTCCCCTCCACACTTCACTTCAGTTCAGTTCTGAAAAGTCATTTAACATTTAGAGTCTAGTTTGCTCCCTCTATGGATGCTGTGTGACCCGCTGTGATCGCCAGCATTTGTTGTTTTCAAAACAGATGCCAGCATCTGCAGTAATTTGCTCCTAGCCTGCTTCAGTGTTCCTATTAAATCCTGTACAGTCACCACAGACTGAACAGACTGCACAGCCAATGTGCAATTGGTAGATCATGAGGAAATCAACACAACAGAAAAAACAACCACAGGAGATAGTCACCACTAACCTAATTGTCACAGACACATTGACTATGTTTGATTTACAGCATCCACAGTTCTTTTGGTTTTCATTGTCTCCGTAAGCATTGATGTGGAGATGCTGGTGTTGGACTAGGGTGGACAAAGTCAGAAGTCACATGTCACATGACACCAGGTTGTGGTCCAACAGGTTGATAGGAGTGCCAACTGCATAGTCTTGCTCAAGTGCCATCTTTACATTAGACACACCCTCCCTCACAGTATAGTTGGGCCATTCTGTATCACCTGACCTTTGTGGAGAATTTTGCAAAGAAAAACACCTTTGACCACAAGTCTATCAGGAAGGAGTCAGCATGTAGCATCCGAGACCCTGCTGGAAAAGGAGAGGGTAGATCATGTCGCATGGTTCCCTGAGCAGACAGTCAAAGTCATTTAGCAGAAAGTCTCATCACCAGAACTTTCTAACAACTGCCAAGACATCACTTGGTTGGTGGTGAAAAGGACACTGTCCTGGATTCTTTTTGTTCACCATCTGTTTGCACCACTGCATGTTGCCCTCAAAGAGGCTGAGATGTGATAGAGACGGTCATCCACCTTTTGTTGGAAAGTGCCTTTGCAAAGGAAGTCTGGAGAAAGATGCAGTGGTTTTTGTCAAGGTTAGTCCCAAGCAGCTCCGTGACACAGGATTCTGTGCTCTATGCTCTGTCCCCCTGGACGCACACTGAGACAAACATCAACTGTGCTGGAAGACCATTAACTCACTGAAAGATGCCCTTTGGTTTGCCTGAAACTTGTTAGTCTTCTGGATCAAGGAGTAGACCCTGACAGTGTTGCAGACTGGCACATTTAAAAGGTCCAGGATTATGTGCTGAGAAAGCACTAATGTTTGGGGCAGCTGCCGCTAAGGTGCAGTGGGGAAAAACCACTGCCTGGGGACTTTCTGTGAAAGTTAAACGCGGGTTCCTTCAGTTATCGGACCCTCTGGTGTCTCAATGCATGCAAATATAATCTTGCACAACTATGACATGCATTTGTTTGTTCATTTCATTCTATCCAACTCCAATGTTTTTGTTTAAAACCAAGAGTGTGATCTGTTTGGACTTCAGTAAGGCATTTGACAACATTCCTCATGGTAGACTGGTTAGCAAGGTTAGATCACATGGAATGGAGGGAGAACTAGCCCTTTGGATACAGAACTGGCTTGAAAGACAGAGGGTGGTGGTGGAGGGTTGCTTTTCAGTCTGGAGACCTGTGACCAGTGGTGTGCTACAAGGACCAGTGCTGCCACTACTGCTTTTCATCATTTTATATAAATGATTTGGATGTGAACATCAGAGGTATGGTTTGTAAGTTTGCAGATGACACCAAAATTGGGAGGTGAAGAGGACAGCAAAGAAGGTTACCTCAGTACAATGGGACCTTGATCAGTTTGGTCCCACCCTTGGGCGACGGTGTGTGGAGTTTGCACATTCTCCCCAGGCCTGTGTGGATTTCCTCTGGGGTACTCCAGTTTCCTCCCACAGTCCAAAGATGTGCAGGTTAGGTGGACTGGCCGTGGTAAATTGTCTGTAGTGTCAAGGCACATGCAGGCGAGCTGTACTAGCCATGGGAAATGCAAGGTTACAAGGATTGGGTAGGGCAGTGGGTCTGGGTGGCATGCTGTTCAGAGATTCAATGTGGACTTGTTGGATTAAATGGCCTGTTTCCACACTGTAGGGATTCTATGATCTATGGATGGGCCAATGGGTTGAGGAGTGGCAAATGAAGTTTAATTTAGATAAACGTGAGGTGCTGCATTTTGGAAATGCAAATCAGGGCAGGACTTGTACACTTAATGGTATGTTGCTGAACAAAGAGACCTTGGAATGCATGTTCATAGTTCCTTGAAAGTGGATTCCCAGGTAGACAGGAAGGTGAAGGTGGCATTTGGTGTACTTGCCTTTGTTGGTCAGTGCATTGAGGATAGCTATTGGGAGGTCATGTTGCAGCTGTACTGGACATTGCTCAGGCCACTTTTGGAATTCTGTGTGCAATTCTGGTCTCCCTGCTATAGGGAGGATTTTGTGAAACTTGAAAAGGGTTCAGAAAAGATTTACAAGGATGTTGCCAGAGTTGGAGGGTTTGAGCTATGGGGAGTGGCCGAAGATGCTGGGGTTATTTTGCCTTGAGCATTGGAGGCGGAGAGGTGACCTTATAGAGGTTTGTAAAATCATGAGGGGTGTGGAGAGAGGGAATAGCCAAGGTCTTTTCCCTTGGATGGGCAAGTCCAAAACTAGAGGGCATAGGTTTAAGGTGAGAAGGGATAGATTTAAAAGGGATGCAAGGGGCAACGTTTTCCTGCAGAGTGTGGTGCGTGTATGGAATGAGCTGCCAGAGGAAGTGGAGGCTGGTATAATTACAATATATAAAAGGCATCTGGATGGATATACAAATAGGAAGGGTTTAAGAGGGATATGGGCCAAATGCAACTAGATTATTTTAGGATATCTGGTCAGCATGACCAAGTTGGCCTCAGGGTCAGTTTCCATGCTGTACAGCTCTAACTCTAGGACTCTAACTCTAAATTTCCATAGGTGCTGACAGACCAGCTGAGCCTTTGATTTACAGCATCCAGTTAACATTTTGGGTCAAATGTACCTTCCTCAGAACTCCAACATTTGTTTGTTTCTTCATATGCTACTGTACAAAAGCAAACTGTTTGTGGTTATGTATGACGTTTTTCATGAACAAAGTGTATTTTTGAAATAAAAGTCACAACCACCATGCTAAATGAGATAGATTCAAAACAGATTTAAACAACTCAA